CAATTCAAAATATTCAATTGAAAAAACTACTAATCCCCAGGACATCAAAATTGAATTTTAATTGTCCACTAACTAATGTTTGGTTTGGTTGACATTTTGGGTCAAAAACAGCTTAAATGGAGTCATAATGTTAATTTAAAATATCAAGGTGGAAACAGACAGTTCAGCATTCTGATGTCACTATCGTCGACTAACCTATTTTGGTTACACAACACTTGCTGGATAACTTTCAACTGGTTACACAACACCTGTTTCAAATAGCCAAAATTATCTCAGATATTCAGAACACATGTGTAATAAAATTTTGATACCGAGTATTAGATAAAAAAGATAAGTGTTGAAGACAAATGCTATATGCAAACCAGATATGCCTGTAAGACTGAACTCCAAAACACATCCAACAGTTTCATGTGCAGCACTAAGACTGACTGACTGAGTTTGGTTTTACGCCGCTTTTAGCAATATTCCAGCAACATCACGGCAGGGGACACCAGAAATGGGCTTCACACATTGTACCCATGTGGGGATTCGAACCCGGGTCTTTGGCGTGACGAGCCAACGCTTTAACCATTAGGCTACCCCACCGCCCCTGCAGCACTAAGAAGCACTACACTGGTGTCACTCCTGGCTTTGAATCTTTCTTTCTGAAAATGTTATTGATTCTGTTTATCCTACAGTTGAGATTTACTTGACTTCATCCATTGTTTGTGTAAGGGCGAGTAATCTGGAGTATGAAATGCCCAGTCCGACTTCCGGCTAGTGGTGGTCTGTATAATGTCAGAAGTCAGCCTGCACGGCCGAAACATTTTATGTTTTGATTAGCAGACTATGGACCAACAAACCCCAAATGCTAATGATGACCACCATTCAGAGCCTCCTAGATAGAAAACAACATTACAGGGTCGACTGATCCAAAAGAATGCCATATAAAATCAAATTCAAACAGTAAAGCAATTTGCTGAAAACTTTCATCGGACTACTAGAGTATGAGTTTGATAATTGAAATCATGTACATAAAGCTCATCTCTGTGCATATCTTCCTATGAATTTTATCATCTTAAAAGGACCAAATATGATCTTCCCATTTTTTTTCCATCTGCCCATTACCACACATTATCTTCCCATTGTTTCACCATCTTCATCTTATAAATTACAACACATCATATTCCATCTTTAGATTACAACACATCATATTCCCATTGTTTCACCATCTTTAAATTACTATACATCATATTCCCATTGTTTCACCATCTTTAAATTACTATACATCATATTCCCATTGTTTCACCATCTTTAGATTACTATACATCATATTCCCATTGTTTCACCATCTTTAGATTACTATACATCATATTCCCATTCTTCACCATCTTTAGATTACTTTACATCATATTCCCATTGTTTCACCATCTTTAGATTACAATGCATCATATTCCCATTGTTTCACCATCTTCAAATTACAACGCATCATATTCCCATGGTTTCAACATCTTCAAATTACAATGTATCATATTCCCATTCTTCACCTCATCTTTAGATTACTATACATCATATTCCCATTCTTCACCATCTTTAGATTACTATACATCATATTCCTATTGTTTCCACCATCTTTAGATTACTATACATCATATTCCCATTGTTTCACCATCTTGAGATTACTATACATCATATTCCCCATTCTTCACCATCTTTAGATTACTATACATCATATTCCCATTGTTTCACCATCTTTAGATTACTATACATCATATTCCCACAATGCATCATATTCCTATTGTTTCACCATCTTTAGATTACTATACATCATATTCCTATTGTTTCACCATCTTTAGATTACTATACATCATTTTCCCATTGTTTCACCATCTTTAGAATTACTATACATCATTTTCCCATTGTTTCACCATCTTTAGATTACTATACATCATATTCCCATTGTTTCACCATCTTTAAAATTACAACACATCATATTCCCATTGTTTCACCATCTTTAGAATTACTATACATCATATTCCCATGGTTTCACCATCTTTTAGATTACTTTATACATCATATTCCCATTGTTTCACCATCTTTAGATTACTATACATCATATTCCCATTGTTTCACCATCTTTAGATTACTATACACCTTTTCCCATTGTTTCACCATCTTTAGATTACTACACATCATATTCCCATTGTTTCACCCATCTTTAGATTACTACACATCATATTCCTATTGTTTCACCATCTTTAGATCATTACTATACATCATATTCCCATTGTTTCACCATCTTTTAGATTACTATACACCTTTTCCCCATTGTTTCACCATCTTTAGATTACTACACATCATATTCCCATTGTTTCACCATCTTTAGATTACTACACCTTATATTCCCATTGTTTCACCCATCTTTAGATTACTATACATCATATTCCCATTGTTTCACCATCTTGAGATTACAATGCATCATATTCCCATTGTTTCACCATCTTTAGATTACTATACATCATATTCCTATTGTTTCCCACCATCTTTAGATTACTATACATCATATTCCCATTGTTTCCAACCATCTTTAGATTACTATACATCATTTTCCCATTGTTTAACCACCATCTTTTAGATTACTATACATCATATTCCCATTGTTTCACCATCTTCAAATTACAACACATCATATTCCCATTGTTTCAACATCTTTAAATTACTATACATCATATTCCCATTGTTTCACTATCTTTAAATTACAACACATTATCTTCCCATTGTTTCACCATCTTTAAATTACAACACATCATATTCCCATTGTTTCACCATCTTTAGATTACTATACATCATATTCCCATTGTTTCACCATCTTTAGATTACAATACATCATATTCCCATTGTTTCACCATCTTTAGATTACTATACATCATATTCCCATTGTTTCACCATCTTTAGATTACTATACATCATATTCCCATTGTTTCACCATCTTTAGATTACTATACATCATATTCCCATTGTTTCACCATCTTTAGATTACTATACACCATTGTTTCACCATCTTTGGATTACTACCCATCATATTCCTATTGTTTCCCTACATCTTTTAGATTACTACACATTATTCCCATTGTTTCACCATCTTTAAATTACTATACATCATATTCCCATTGTTTCACCATCTTTAGATTACTATACATCATATTCCCATTGTTTCACCATCTTTAAATTACTATACATCATATTCCCATTGTTTCACCATCTTTGGATTTATACACCTTTTCCCATTACTATACATCATATTCCCATCTTTATTGTTTCCTATTGTTTCATCTCTTAGATTACATATTCCCATTGTTTCACCATCTTTAGATTACTATACATCATATTCCCATTGTTTCACCATCTTTAGATTACTATACATCATATTCCCATTGTTTCACCATCTTTAGATAACAATGCATCATTTTCCCATTGTTTCACCACCTTTAGATTACTATACATCATTTTCCCATTGTTTTACTGTATTCCCATTACTACACATCAACTTTCCAAATTGTTGTTAAAAAAGCAATGGCTTTCAGCATTGTCTGTCACCGGTCACTAAAGACATAAATAACTGATATTTTGAGAAGATATATAGCTGGCTTAGGTATCACATTTACATAGGCTGATCCACAGGGGTGTTCCCCCCCCCCCCTTGTCCTGAAAGTTTATTAGTTTATTAAATGACAATTGAAACTCGCGTGAAAAGGGGTGAAAATGAACTGTGTACACCCCCTTTATCAAAAGATGTATACGCCCCTGACTTATTACATTACCCTACTATTCCTAATCAAACTTTCATTTTCTTCTTAAAAAGACAACATACAAAGTAATTTACAGAGCTTCCAACCAAACTTTTCACCATCGGATTTTACACCACTATAAGCTCACTGTAACAGTGATCAACCTGTACTGAAATCTGGCGTCTACCTACATGACACATTGAATTATACAACAAACTGGGTGAAAAAACAGATGAAATCTCAGTCACCAAGCCAACAATGGAAATATTTTCTGACACTGTCTAGGTTGTGAGAAGGAATGAGGACTATTTCCACCCATTCAAGACCGATTAAAATGTGACACTACAAATGTTTAGACTATTTCTTTGAGCTATAAGAAAGGAAATTACACTGACAAATTAAAAATACTGATGCAGAAAAATGGTTATAAGAGCCTTTCAGAAGAAATGAGAGAAGTGTCTTCCAGACAAGGTGGTTCAGTAAAGGTTAATATATGTGTCAAAAAGGCTCATCTTGGAGACTTTTTAAAATAGAAAATAACTAAGTATCAAGTTTTCTCACATTTCGACATGAGCAAGCCTTTAACTAACGAAATATTTCAAACAGTAAATAAAGAAATTCATCTTGGGTATGTAGGTACCTCCTCCCTGCAGTGGAAAAGCTACCTGTCAGTCATTGGAAGATGTCTAATTATTTTTCACGATTATTTCAAAGCAGTCTGCAATAAAGTTGTTTAAGACTAACTGCAGGCTTAATAGGTCCTTATCCTCTTCATTTCATTCATATTTTTGTAATTAGGATTTCCAATTAAAATAATTGGTTTGAAAAGAAAGTGTGACTGAAATGGTTGTCCATATTGTCCATTGTTTATATTACTGCCAGGAAATGCTCTAAAAAATGTCATTGAAATCAATTATTTTGAAGACCTAGAATGTATTTGGAGTGTTTGTGATCTTAAAATATTCCAGCTCATCATAATTAACAAGCTTCATATGACATTGAAAACCTGACAAATTTGAAAAGCACTTTAAAAAAATGATCGGGGATAATTATTTGTAAATCAATACAACCCACAGATCATTCTAGAAGTTGTTTTTTTCTTAAACATTCTTCCAGAAATCTTGACTCCAATTTAGACAAGAAATCCTCAATGTCAATTCAGTTTGTTTTAATAACAGTATTTTTTGGTGTGCTGAGCCCATGAATAACACACCCTCATCTTGTTTTTTTCAGACTTAAACCACAGCCAGGCTGCATGGTGATTGCTCATGGTGACGGACACTTTTGCAGAACCGTGACTTAAAGTACAGGGATTATCCAGACCTCCGGGAATAATCATCAAGCAAGGGATTGATCAATACGAAGACAGGAAGTCAACAGGTTCACCTATTTCCAAACTTTCTCTCTGAATACGTGTCAAATTGTGACCCTGTGTGTGCTGTATTATTCTGGAAGAACAAGAAGGATGTTCTGTCGTGGACTTTACCATGAAGGTTGTAATTCTGTCCGCTGACTGAGGAATGCCAACTTTCCCACTTGACGGACATTTCTAGTGTTACATCTGATAACTGCTCCGAACTTGATTAATTTGTCTTCAAGAAAACGGGATCCTAAACCATTTTGCAGTTCCACTAAATGTAGTTTGTGAGACAGGAAGGATCGAAGGACTTGAGCATAATTAGGTGTGAGAATTGAAGGGTGTAATCAAGTGAATAAGTGGCGTCAACCATCTTCATAATTCAGAGACACCAAAGAGGTAACTGCAAATCAAACAAAGATTCAGACAACAACATTACAAAAACTTCATAAAAAACGAACCTCACAACACAGTGGCTTGGAATATAACTTTCAGCAAAATTAAATCTGTCTTCCGAAAGACGATTAAATTCGTTCCTAATCTACCAGGTGAAGCTTGTGTAAATCCCACCCCACAGCTTGAAGAGACTATATTACCATTATTCAATAGCCAAACAGCAATTTCTAATTTTGAGAAGATGATGAAAATTGAAGGGAAGGACACTCCTGCAGTCTCCACTCTTGGAGCCTCAACCAACCGCTCATGGATTTAGCTGGGTGGCAATTAGTAGACAACAGCTTGAGAAACCGAATGACACGTCCTAACTTCATCAGCTGAATTTTGTTTATTGGACATGGAAGCAAGCTTGTTGTGCCTTTTATCATGTGAAGTGGAGACAAAGCCACTTCATAGAATTAGATCCGTTTTTGAATTTAGATTGGAGACGCTGTAAGTTATCATCTTATGCTTTCCTATTAAGGAATGTGGTTTTATCTCGCTGTGTGAACTCCCATCAAATCACTCTTTTCTTCTTCTAGGAGGGAGTTAAGTGAAATTTATATCCCTAAACTTGATAAACAAACTCAAGCTGGAGAAATTCTGTTTGTTTTGGATTCAAAATACATTCATTTGAAAGTGAGTTTCATTCTGAAACATATTTTGGGATCTGAATCTAACGATTTTTCATTGCCACAAATGCAGTTACGGTTGGATTTATAACTTGAGAAAGGGAAACGGATTCAACTTCAAAATGGCTGCAAATTCAATTGGTTACCAAAGTGGACATTTACCCATGGTGAATGGCTCTGACATTCTCAAACCCAGTGTGGTGATTGACGTGGCGGAGGCCGTGACACAAATGTTGACAGCCACAACGCCATCACCAATCCAGAAATTTGGCACCTCATACGGTAGGATTCATGGCTACCTCAGCATAGCTGTATGTATTTTTGGAATTATATCCAATGCCTTGAATATAATTGTCCTCACGCGCAAGCATATGTTATCACCGACTAACTATATCCTCACGGCGCTGGCAATAGCAGACATGCTTACGATGAGCACGTACCCGATCATGGCAACATACTTGTACATCATCAGCCAACCTAACTGTGATGATGTGAAACACCCAAAGGAGTGGATGTACTTCATTCTGTTCCACAACCTATTCATCGTCACGTGTCACAACATGGCTATGTGGTTGACAGTAGCACTAGCAGTGTTCAGGTACATATTTGTTTGCATCCCATCCAAAGCCATGACACTATGCAGTGCACAACGAGCCAAACTGACGGTAGGCTTAATTGTAATTGTTACCATCATTGTCTGCTGTCCCAACTATGTTATATACCAGGTAGTGGATTTAAGAACACAATACCCTAATTCTACTTCATGCTATTGGATTTTGGAAACGGAATTTGCCAGTAAGCATGTCTGGTATACGTCCTTTGTGAAGTGGCTGTATGGGGTGGTTATCAAAATCCTCCCTTGCATCTTACTGGTATTTCTAAGCACACTGCTCATTCTGGCTATGCAGCAGGCGAAAAGACGCCGTGCTCGACTACTAGGAAAAGTGAGCCGAGCATCTGACCATGAACATCAATCCAACGAGCACAACCGCACAACGGTCATGTTGGTGGCTGTTGTGATGTTTTTTGTTATAACAGAACTGCCTCAAGGAATCCTGGCCCTAATAGGATCTATGAGTACTGAACTGTGGGACGTGTACGTCACTCTGGGGGACCTGATGGACATTCTGGTTCTCATCAACAGCGCGTCAACTTCATCCTCTACTGCATCATGAGTCAGCAGTTCAGGAACACCTTCAAGAACCTCTTCATCGGCAAGAACAAAACCTTCTTCAGTAAATATCACAAGCAGAATGGGGCTACCTACAGCGTTGTAAAGACTGACACCACCATGGTATAGTGATGAGACAAGGTCAGATTCTTGTGAAGATTCAACACTCCTGAAACGCAGCTGAACTGATACAGGTATATGCCTTGGATAACACTTCACATGAATATATGAGAATGCACACACCATTGGGTAAAACATTCAGTGCCTCTTACTTGTGCCGAGTGAGTGTGGTGGGTGATCTTCAAAAACAAATATTGATCTTCATGGGATGAAGACTTTGTTGGTGGAGATCTCACACTTCAGGAGTATTCTTGTTGCTGTCATCCCATGCTTACCTACAAATGTATTATTCAATATGAACACAACGCGACCTGCTGAAGCATGTTTGATTGTAAATTACACGGTGTCATGAATGGAAAATTTCGTGAAGAAAAACATCTTCATAACTGATAATGGTGAGACGTTCTGATGTCGGACACCATCAACATGGAAAGTGTTCATGTGCAGGAACAGAAGAACAAGAACACTTTGTCAGATCCAGAGCTTCTGGAGGAACAAAAGCTTTGTTAAATCCTGCTGGCAGGATTTGCTTTCAGGATAACTAAAAACTATTGGAACTACTGAAACGTCATAAGCCACTGGAAGAGGTTGTGCGATGACCTTCGATCTTGATAATCTCAACTGATATTAATCACATCCAGATTGAAAGATTTCAAAAGGTTTGTCTTGTAGCATGAAACAGTGACAATGTTCTTGAAGACAAAATGAACTGTATCTATGTACATAGCTTGGGAAGAAGCTGTCTGGAAGCATTGTGATGGCAAAGTATCTGAAGGATTCTATACCTGTGATGACATGGAACCATACAAAGGTTATGCATAACCAAATATTAACATTTGGTGTGCAGAAGAATGGTATCAGATGTGATATATTTACTTTAGGATAATGGTTGCCTTATTTAAGCTTCAGTATGGCTGTTCTTGTGGAACAGTCCTGTAGATTATTTTATCTAGCCATGGCTTGTAGAGACCAAAGAGCCATATGCAAACTCATGTGTCAGAGTGACGTGGCGATAGAAGCATGCATCTTGACTTGTCAGGTCATAATAAAATGTTTTGAAATAGTTCAAAATGAATGAGGCATTTGTGAGGATGATGTATGTTTTTTCTGTAAAAACAGACTTGTTAGTGACTTTGTTCAAGGCCAACAGCATGTTTTCTGACCTTGGGCCTTGACCCCTTCTCAAGGTCATGCAAACATGCTACCAAACATTTTCGCCTTAAACAGTTACTCACAAGTACCAGTCAGGCATACTGGTATTCATGGGTTGTACATTATGTTTCTATTTTGTTTTTCAGAGATGCTGAAAATTATGCATATATATAAATGCATGATGTATTATGCAATATATACATAATATTCAGGTGACAGATAAGAATGGTATTCCCTCATTTGCAAAAAAAAAGAAGAAATTTTAATTCACTGAACTGAGAAACTGAAATTGTGACAAAATTCTTAAAGATGTTTCAAAACAGCATTCATCAAAGGAATAGTATACCAAACAGATATATGGAATATACCATCAAAAAAGTATTACACATGAACAAACATACTATTTTGCAATAGTGAACAACAGCACAGTGAGAAATATTCATTTAAGATGATTAAAATGTAAAGTGTTCAGTAATTGGTAAAAATTTCATACAAATATGTGTCTTCTTTAGTTTTTGTAAGGTTTCAAATTGGATTCTTGGTAATGAATTCTCCAAGTTGTTTCAAGACAAATAAAAACTACCCAGAATAACGGTGTAAATATCAGGTCATACATGATTCAGTATTTGTATTGTACACAATAAACAAATCAAGAAAACATACAGTACCTGAAGAAACAAAACCAAATCCAGAAATAGAGTATGAATGATGAAAAGCATTGATTCAGATTTTTGTTGAATTTATCTATTTGCAATGGTCAACCTTTGAGCAAGCATATATATTTGAAATATAAAAAGATGCTATTGAATATTCTATTTCAACAAGAGCCATTGAAGATCCCTGTGTCAACAAAATGAACCACATTCCATTCACAATTTACAAATAGTGTACATATGACACACATACATAAATTTCATTCAGTTATGAAAATAAAATTGTAAAACAATAAGAGAGACAAGGCATGTTTAAAATATATATTCTATACATGAAATGCATATTTTCTACCTAATATTGAATTTATTTTCAAAAATACAGAAAAAATTAAACTGAAACAGGATTGAATTTGCAAGTGAAGGAATATATCATGTTTATTTGACAAATACTCCAAAATGATGTTGGAAATTGTTTATCGAGATGTGATACTGCCTAATGTTATATTGTACAGTTCATTGTTAATAACATATTTAGTTGTTTGCTTGCTATTGTACTTTTTGTCACAAAAAATGTACCAGCTTTGTACAAACATGGCTTTTTGACATAACTGAGCTCAAGTTTAATTTGTTATGTGACAGTTATTAAACTAATTTAAAATGTCAGAACTGTCCCTTTTCTCTTTTTCATTCTTTTCTCATAATCAGAGTTATTTCCCAGAGCATGTTGAAAGTCTTCTTTTGTTAGCCATGTTACAACTGCAAGATCACAGCTGCGAGGTTTTTACAAATTCCTATCTGATCCTATTTCAAGCTTTCCCCGAAATATGACTCTGATTACTCTTCATTGTGAGGAGGTATAAAAAACGCACTACACGGACTGTTAGCATCTAAATATAGATTTATTGGAACAGAGATCACAAAGTATATTGATCTCTACATATAGTGGAGTTGTCCGAGAATAAAGATTGACTTTTTGGTGTTGTGATATAATTGTCCTACTGTCAAGGTAAAAAACGCATTTGTGGTTTTAGTGTGCAGGGAGCTATGCTTCAGTTGAATCTCAGACGACGTTTTGGATTATATTCTTATACCTTCATCTGGTGAACAAGACCATTGGTCTGAGGTGAGGTGAGGTGAGGTGAAATTGGGTTTAACTTCGTGCTTGAGAATATTTCGCTCATATGACGACGTGCATGCATGTGTATGTGTATGTGCAGCTACTTGTACTAGCCCAGACTTAAGCTGGTTTTATAGTGCTAGCCCACTGAGATACCATGCCGCAGTGAAGCATGAATACCCCACTCGGACAAATTATACTGACTCCGAGCCGACCAGTCCTTATTGTACCCATTAATGCCGAGCGCCAGGCAGGGACTAACAAGTACCATATCTTAACGTCTTTTGGTATGACGTGGTCGGGGATCGAACCTGCTACCTTCCGCTTTCCAGGCGGACGCTCTAACCACTACACCACGGAGGCGGTTACCATCGGTCTGAACACAGACAGTTGGAACAGGCCACGTAAACGTAAACTTGCCTGCAGGAAACTGAGGAGTATGACATTTCCCATGCGGTCAGACCATGTATCGTTGACCATGAGGAAAACCATCGATTCGGATGCACTTGAGTTTGGGTCTTATTTGATTTAGGTTGACATCTCATCATGAGTCATTTTGATAGATCATCCATGCAGGACGTAGGTAGATTGATGAACAGAATTTAATAGTTCATTGAAATAGACCTTCCACACAGCCAGCTGCAATAGAGTTAGATAGTGTAGATAATAGACTTTAAGGTATCACATTAAGTTTCTTGACACATTTACATATGTTGAAAGGCATTCACATTCAGTTCTCCATTTATTATTACACATGTACTTAATTATTTCATCAGGTTAACAAAGAGAATCACTTTTAGTTCCCTGGATAGTACATTTCCAACTTCATATTCAGTTAGTTTAGTTTTAGTTTTCAATTTCACTGCCCGCCAACTACAAGCCAAGATCCAAACCTGCCCCATTAATTATCAGAATCACCATGCCCTACTTTGGCCCTGTCAGCCATCAGATTTACAGCCTCTTCAAGAACAAAGCCAACACAGACGGCACCTTTTCCAGCAGCAAGACAACCAAGGCCCTTCTGCATGCCAATGGCAGGGGCACCAATTTTCTTTCAGTCGCCTGATGGAGGAGTGAGACGGTTCTCTGAAATGCTGTGTTCATCATATTACAGAGGACTTTAGTCAAGGTCTGATACTTACAGCAGCATTATGCTCCAAGGGTTTTAAGTTGCCTCCTACGGGTTGCTGGGGAATCCCAACATTTGAGAATATTTTGATGTTCCCCACATAGGTTTTGTATGTTTGTTTGTACACGCCACATGATGGCAGTCTGTGAATCACTGAGTCCGTATCAGACAATCCAGTGATCCATTAATGCAAACAATTTGAATGAACAGTCCAAAGACCAAAGGTATTCATCCCTTTCTTCTTTGTTTGTTGAAAATCCTGCACTCAGCAATATTCCACGTTATGGTGACGGTCTGTAAATGATAAGTTGGGACGAGACAATCCATTGATCAACATCAAGAGCATCATCATGCGTCAAGCAAGTCAGCGAGCCTGACCACCTGATCCTGTTAGTCGCCTCTTATGACAAGCAGCCATCTCTTATGACAAGCATAGTTGTTAGTAACATATATTCCAATTGCAGGTGCCTCCCACAAAGAGATAATAGGAGGCTGACCAACTAAGAATTCAGTCACTTATATTCCAATGTCAGAGTATTTCACCAGTAATGGTAGCTCTCAGGTGAGTTTTGAAAGGATTTCCTGTTTTGTCAAACAAAATAGACAGTTCTTTATAACCCAGGGCCTAGATTTTTGAAGCTCTCTTAAAGCTAAGATAGTGGTAAGTTAATGTTAATGTATGGCACTTACGATTATCTTAGCGATAAGAGAGCTTCGAAAATCTAGGCCCTGGAGTTTTTTATTAGTAGGCCATGACCTAAGTCTAGTGCCTATAGTATAAAGGTAGACATCAACAATAGCCAAAGGCTGCAAGACCTAAAGTAACATGTGACCTTCATACAGTAAACTTTGGATACAACAATTTGAGAGGGACTAATTTTAGTTTGTTATTAAATTTCAAAGTTTTACGACACATTTTAAAATATGCTGCAATTGGTGAGGAAACAAATATAGGTTTCTCACTCACTTGTACACAAAACTCCATCAATACAGCAATTTGATCAAAAAGAAACTAGGAAAGAAAACAAATTTTTGTTACACAAAGCCCACATTCAAACAGATCATGATTATGGTGTCAACAATATGTTCATTGCTGTATGATTGGTATTGAAGAGGAACACTTGGTTTCTACTTCTTCAGCAGCATGCTGCAACCATCTTACCCCAGTGACTTGTCCTTATAGCGTCCGCCGAGAGGGTCTCTGCTCCAAAAGATGTTAAAATTGTACTTGTTGGTCCCTGCTTGGCTCGGCATTAATGGGTACAACAAGGACTGGTCGTCCTTATAATTTGTCAGAGTGGGGTATTCATGCTCACTGCTGGTATCTCAGTGGGCTAGCACTATAAAACCAGCTTCAGTCTGTAGTACAAGACTACACCTACGAATGCACGTCATGAGTGTTATTCTCAAGCATGCGTTAAACCCAATTTCACCTTAGTGTTAGATAACTGTTCATGTTGACCAGTTAGTGTTTGACTTTAGCTGTATTCCAGTAATATGACTGCAGACACACACAAATGGTCGGTTTGTTGTATAACGCTGTACTCAACAATATTACAGCTATATGGTGTCGGTCTGTAAATAATTGAGTCTGGATCAGGCAATCAAGTGATCAAGAGCATGAAGATCAATCTACACAACTGGGATATGATGACATGTGTCAACCAAGTCAGCGAGCCTGACCACCTGATCCTGTTAGTTGCCTCTTATGCCAAGTATGGGTTGCTGAAGACCATTTCTAACCTGATTCTTCAGGGGTCACACACAAATGGGCTTTACATTGTATCAAAATGGAGGACAGGAACTACAGACCCGTGCCAGTAATATTCGGACACTTGATATCATTTCCATAGATCTTACATGTTATTTCAGTGTAGCATAAATCATTTTCATGATGTGAGTTTAGGATAGATCGTTGTAAAATTTGACAGGCAAATTTGAAATCATCTCTGCTCTGTGCACATAATTTCAGTTCAATTTTCTGACCACTATTTAACTAATGACATCACATTTATCAGCTTACGTATGGTTCCACAATGCACAATCCCATAGGCCGCCATGTTAAAGGAGTTCACGGCACTGTACATATGTTGATTAAATTGTTGCCGTTTGATAAATAAGCAACAGACAATTAAACAGAAATTATGTGATTGTAGGTAAGATGATTCCTCAAAAATGTGCAAAATTTGACTTGGATCATACAAAAATTAAGTTAATGAAAATTATTTATGCTACACTAAATTAACATGTAAGTCTATGGAAGTTACGTCAAGTGTGCGAATATAACTGGCACGGGTCTGTAGGTCTTTGGTGTTAAAAGTACAGGGTATTGAAACACATTATGCTTAAATTTGATATGAGCATGGCCAGCCCCATGTTGTGCCTCAATGTAGAACCATAAAGGTTCAAAGCCTTGTGCTGGGATTCGAGCCATGGACATTCTGATCCGAAGTTGGTTGCCTTGTCCACATGACCAAAGAAGATAATCCCTCTTGGTAAAGAATGATTCATGCCCTGATACAATAATAGAAGGTCGAGTGACCTTGCTCATGGAAAGATAAAGTTTTATCTTGGTCGAGTGAGCATTTGGCCAGGTGCTCTAAAGTACTGTCACAGCATCCATTACTACCAAGCGATAACCTATCACCTTGTAAATAAGAAACACCAATATACATCAGGGCTGCATGGTACTACCAATATTCTGAATTATGCTTTGCAAATTATACATGTTCTAAAAATATTTTTGTGTTCCTGTACAATTGGTAAACAAATCTGCCACAAGTTTCATCATTTTTGTAGTGTTTTACAGCACATCCAACCACAAATACAACACCAATGATGTTTGGTATTGAAATTGTTTTTCAAAACATCAGAAACACGAGCTTTTTTGCCTCATGAAGCTTCTTTCCCTGTATCAATGACAAGATGGTGGCAACTGGACGTGCTGACTTTGACATCATTGCCAAAAAGATGAGAAACTTCAGTTTTCTTTTATTATATTACTAGCAATATTTACTTAAATGTGCAGTAAAATAGGATCTGCAATATTTAACAAACTTTTTTCATTTCGTGAGTGCGACATATCGATACAGATTCTTCTAAAATGCCACTCAAAGAGAATATCATCTAGGTGTATAATCAGAGTCAATAAATGTCAAAAATTTTAACTCTCAAAATATCATAATAAGTTTCTCAATACAAACCTTTTTCGTAACTCATTATGGTATAGCTATTTGGCCAAAATGCTTGAATACAGGAATGTGCAATGATCATATACAAAGTAATTTGCATAACAGGCTCACACAAGGGATGTAGTTATCTTGCCTCAGAGAGTGAGTGAGTGAGTGAGTTTAGTTTTACGCCGCACTCAGCAATATCTCAGCTATATGGCGGCGGTCTGTAAATAATCGAGTCTGGACCAGACAATCCAGTGATCAACAGCATGAGCATCGATCTGCGCAATTGGGAACTGATGACATGTGCCAACCAAGCCAGTGAAACTGACCACCCGATCCCGTTAGTCGCCTTTTACGACAAGCATAGTCGCCTTTTATGGCAAGCACATGGGTTGCTGAAGACCTATTCTACCCCGGATCTTCACGGGTCCTTGCCTCAGAGAAAGCATTTAAAAACAGACATCAGTGTAGGTGTGTCACAAAGACATGAGTGAGTGAGTGAGTGAGTTTGGTGTTACGCCGCTTTTAGCAATATTTTCCAGCAATATCACGGCGGGGGACACCAGAAATGGGCTTAACACATTGTACCCATGTGGGGAATCGAACCCGGGTCTTCGGCGTGACGAGCGAACGCCTAACCACTAGACTACCCCACCGCCCCCACAAAGACATGACAAAGGTCCTGCACAGAATCACTATGCAGAGCTGTGTCCCTAGGGACCGACAGAAAAGTGTAACTGCGGGTTCGAATGACAATTCACCCGATTATTTTCCAAGGTTTGCCAGCATTATACCCAAGAGTCTTGCCGAGGTGAAAACGTGAGACAAGCATCGCCTCAAGCTTTCTGTCCACGTTAAGCTGACACGCAATGATAAAACAAGAATACAGTTCAAAGCCGTGTTGAACCGAACTGACTTACTTTCCCATAATGAAATACAACATTTCTGTGAATATAATGTCACTGTCCTACACAACCCCAGCAAATAATCCGTAATCCCTCAGGAAGTTGAAAACCTATCTTGGACATGTAATAATTAATAAAAGCGGCAGTGCTGTCAATAAGACTTGACATTTTGTCTTTTAATGTCCATAAGCCAAGATTATGCATCCTGTGATTCTCCCCAGTCTTTGTCTGAACCTTATCCCCAAAAGTCACGCATTAACTGCTCGGATTCACAAAGACAAACTGGGTCATGGCAATGGCGTGTGTTACGTCTTGACTCCGCTGTCAGCCGGTGTTTGGTGACACGGGTTTCAGGACGTTCCAGACAAATCCCCTCAAGTGGTAGTCAATGCATATAGGCGAGATAAATGTCAAACTCATTTGACATGCAGCTCTATGAAATCTAATCTGTTTTCCATTAAGACGCATGATAGCTTCATGGATAAAGTGATAGCTTGTCATGCAGAAGAGGTGGGGTTGCCTCTCAAACATTTCTAATCAAGATTTTGACAGACATTTAGAATTCAGTAGGTTATGGAAGCCTAATATATACTGATTTCACCTTCTGTGTCAGTCAATGACAGTGGGTGGATGAGTCACTCCTGAGTTTCTGGGTGTCGGTGCAAGGATTTTGTACCCATGAGAATGAATACACCCCAGGAAGCTGAGAAAAGCTTACTGACACTGAGAAAACAAATGAACCTATTCCAATTAAGAAGTACCATCATGTCAAAACCTATACCCAGGTTAGACACAAGTTACTTGTATTTTCCTGACAGCTGGATCTCTTTAACTTAGAAAAAACAAGGATTGTGAGAAAAACTGTGTGGAGCTGCACAGAACCTGTGCCTGTCGGGTTTCAAACAATATTCCCATTTAACACTGTCAGCACTGGAGGTTGAGAGAGCATAGTGCCAGACCTCTTATTTACCTGGCTAAGCCACATGGTGAGTAAGTGAGTGAGTGAGTGAGTGAGTGAGTGAAGGACGAGTGGGTGAAGGACAGGAAGGACAGAGGGAGGGAGACTCTAGAAATTAGCTTGTGGGGGTCAAACCTGGTCTTCCAGGAGTAATGAGACATAGACTGAAGAAAGCAGACCAATAAAAGTTTCACTGGACTTTGGTAAAAGCATCACCCTGAGACATAAATAGATGGACTGAACCACAATGACTGAGTTTATTTATTACCCACGAGGTCAACGTTGGGTATGCATACTTTTAGCAATATTCAATCGCGTTGACATCGTAACAACTTGACCTGAGATTCTAACGATTTGATTGACAACCGATGACCTCTCAATTAGGTCACATTCTGAAATGTATTGTTTCTTCACAACAAACCTGTGAATTCATGCCCATGTGCATTGGGGATTGCTAACGTTGCCGTGTCCGGGTTTATCTGTCGAAAAAACATAAACGCCAATGTTTCCACCAGTAATGTTAGCCGATGAAGCAACTGCCAAGAAACGAGGTGCTACGGAGTGGTTTAGGCTACCCAACTGACATGCATCGTGGCGTCGGTTACCATAGATGGAAGATTACAGCAGTCAATAAATATTGTTTCAGTACAAATAACCTCTTTATGAAACCGTTTCGGTTTGAAACTGGCATGACAAAAGTCATTTTGTCATTTCTGATAAAATTAAATAGTTTTATACAACTTAAAAGTGTCCTTCCGATTCACTGCAATCTCCCATTGAAGGACACTCGTAAAAATGCGATATATGCCACTTTCAAATTTCATTTCATAAAATAAAGTTATCAGAATGTATTGATCAAAATAAGGAATTAATTGATCAGACAATTCACTATACGCAAAACATGTCTGGTCTGAAGTTTTAAATCTATTTTATTCTAATATCACAAAAAATGAAAAAAACTTCTTCAGGAACTTTCTAATTCAATTTATTTCTAAAAAATTCTGCTTTTTAAAAGTGTTCTTGATTATGACTCCAATAAAACATAATATGATTGAGTCAAGAATTCCATGTTAATCTTGAACAAAGATTTCTCTGGCTCAACCTGTGAGTAGAGTGTACACTTTAAGCCAAAAAACTATTTCAAGAGCACGCGAGAACAGCAAGTTTATTGGAGTGAATATGGTTTTTATGCTACTTTAGTGGTATTGAGGAATTATTCACAAACTTTCAGACATTTTTCATCCAGATGCAAAATATCTGTGGAATTAATCTCCAGGAATGATGTGAAGTGTAGCTTGGTATTTTTGTAATCACAAGGCTACCGCCATCAACTGGCCAAACCCCAAGCCAGGTCCATTATTTGTCTAGGAGCTCATATCGGGGGGAATCATACAGGATTTAGTGGTGAGAACGTAAGATTTGTTAAAAATCAACAAAAGTACAGTTTCATTTAAATTTCTCAGTTCTTGTTTTTTAGCATCAACTGCGTTTTTTAGATTGAAGTGTTGCATATGATGCTGTTGTAACCCTGTCACTAGATCTAAGACTGATGATAGACTGACTGACTGACTGAGTTTGGTTTTACGCCGCTTTTAGCAATATTCCAGCAACATCACGGCGGGGGACACCAGAAATGGGCTTCACACTGATGATAGACTTATAACTATCATTATAATAATGATCATTATATATATTATATATAATGACTATAATGTTATTGTGCCGAAAGTTTGTGTCATTTTAAGCTGTCATGCTCAAAACAGTGTTAACTCCAAGTCACTCACTCATTCACTAGATGCTTCAGAAAACTAACACATGAACAGAGTTCAGGTTCAAGAGCTAGTGAGTGAATTGGGTTTTATGCTGCTTGTTGCAATATTCCAGTAATATCATGACTGGGGATACCAGAAATGGGCTAGCAAAATTGTTTTAAACGTAAACAGATGGAAAGGCATGTTTTAGTTCAAATTAAATGGGTTATTTTTTAAAAACGATATTGAACCTTTGGACAGAAAATATCTAAGTCCAAAAAATCCCTTGGAATATATTTGTTGTCGAAGCAATCTCTGCCTTCAACAGTATTGAAAAACCTTGTTATTCTGGATATATTTTGTTCCTAATTTTACTATTTTTAAGGTCAGTGGATCTGTAAACCAACCCCAAAAAAATGTAGTAAAAAAATGTTTCATGTGTCCTTCACAATGCAATGATTACCGACTTATGTGTAGACTCATTAGGAATAGGAGAAGGACGCTTTCAGTAAGGCAATATAATGCCATGTTGTTCAAATATATGGTATTGAATTCTTGTACGCCTGCAGGTTAGTCTTAATGATGCCATTAGTTGGTAACTAGGTCATACTGTTGAAGTTTGGCTCATCGGCAATAGATTGTGTTATTTTAGAGGTGACTACACATAAACATACATATATATATATGTGTGTGTGTGTGTTTATTTGTATGATACTAATAAATGGTTGTATGATGAAGTGAACATGATTATAATTAACCCACAATGACATACATAAAAGATTCATAGAGTGTTTTTTTATATGGGTAATATCAATCGTGGCTTTGTCAAGTGATATTTGCCGAGGCTTTGGCTTCGGGAATGGAGTTGATAAATGACATATTTAAATACACAAGTGGTGAATTCTAGTATCATGCTTCTTAAACAGGGTTATCCACCTGAACCAGAAACAACAATGTCATTGTATTGATCGATCCTCATGATGTTGATCACTGGATTGTCTGGTCCAGACTTGATTATTTGCAGACCGCCGCCATATGGCTGGAATAAGCTGATTGGGGCGTTCAACAACAAAAGAACGAACAAACACAAACAGGAGATAACTACCTCAAATACTGAACCAAAAACATTTAGCATGTTATCTTTTCGTAAATTTTGAATGAAGATTTTTTTGTGCCAAAAGTTCAGGGTCCCGTTCCTCAAAGCGATTGTAGCACTACCACAGTCGTAAGTCTATGTTAAAGTATGGGAGTTACGATCAACTTTGCACTACAATCGCTTTGAGGAACGGGGCCCAGGTTGATGTCAAACAATGAGAAAATGTTAACTCTACCAAATCCGGTCAATGGCTGGGCAATAGTTGAAGCGTGTTGACAACCCAGATGTTACACGTGCAAATCACGTTGACGTGAATTAATGACAATTGCATGCATCCTGAGGAACATAGAAGGGTGGATTTCGCACACTGACATCACTGTTGCAAGAAACCAAACAGTGATAAACTCCGCTGACAATGGGGCGTCGATCAGGATTGAATGAAAGTCAAATTCATGAAGCTATGGGGGATTACATGCGGGACAGAGTGTAAGACACGTCGCCAGACCCTACCAGGTCCATGAAAGTACAATTCAGCATCTTCGACAATTGGTGCAACAGACTGGTGAAGTTGGGGATTTGACCCAGGTCAGGAAGGCCTCATGCAACCACCCCACATGAGGATCATCATCTGGTGACGTCATCGAGACGTCACAGGACGAGTGCAGCACATCTAGCCAATGAGCTATGACAAGCAACGGGCACATGCATTCATGCCCAGACAGTCTGAAATCACCTGTAGGTTTACATGCATAATGACAAGTAGTTGGCGTGCCATTGCCACAACGTCAGTTTAAAGGCTGAGATGGGTGCAAATTCATCAACGCTGGCGACGGCAGCAGTGGAACGAGACATTATACACTGACGAATCTCGTTTTTGTGTGGAGTAGGCGGATGGCAGAGATTGAGTGTGGCGATGAAGGGGTGAACGGTTCGACACCGCCAACGTCATTCAACGTGACCTCTACGGAGGAGACAGCATAATGGTGTGGGCTGCCATACACTGGAACCTGGAAGGCGGACTTGGTCAGGTAGTCCACTGAACACTCAACGCTCAGCGTTACTGTGACCAAATCATCACACCAGTCGTCATTCCAATCATGCAGCATTGTCCACAGTTCCTGTCCCAACAGGACTACGCAAGACCCCATACAGCGAGACTATAGTCTGTTTGCAGTGAAAACGTACCGATGAATTTCACTTTAAACAAAAAAGTAAATGAAATAAAGTGAAATTAAGACTGCGAATCCTCATAATTTTGCCTTGCCAACTGATCGTTTAAATCTCAGAATTTATTCATTGTAGGACATATGTTGTTTAACAAACGATCATACATTCAAATCGCTGTTATTGGTTTGTATTACAAGGGGGCAAGAGCAGTAGTTGGAACAGTGAAACAAATGCACGTGCGGTTCGTGATGAGCGTTAACTTAGACCAACTCTACATGTACCGGTGTTTCATTTAATGTGCATACACCCTTGTAATACAAACCAATAATAGCGATTTGAAACTATGATTGTTTGTTAAACAACTTTTATCCTAAGTTGAATAAAATTCTGAGATTTAAATGTTCAGTTGGCAAGGTAAAATTATGAGGATTCGCAATCTTAATTTCATCTTATTCTATTTACTTTTTTGTTTAAATTGACATTCATCGGTACGTTTTCAATGCAAACAGACTATAACCATGCACCTGAACTTCTTTTTGGCATATTCAGTAACTGATTTGCATTGGCAACAGAGTCCAAGTTATCTAATTTGCATATCTAATTTGCATAATTATGTAATTTGCATATGATACACGTTTTTATGTCATAAGCTTATGTCACAGATAGATCCTTTATTAAATGATAAACAATTTTATTACCAATAGGATCAGAGATCTTTTGAACATTATGCCCCCTACATGTGGAACTTTCTTCCCCAAGATCTTAAACTTTCTCCAACATTTGATTCATTCAAAGCGAGTCTCAAGACCTATCTTTTCCGCCAGTTCTATGAATTTTTGTACTTCCTATGTACTTTTTGATTGTTGTGCCTTGAGCATGCTGCTAGTGTGGACATGAGCGCATTATAAATGTGCACTATTATTATTATTATTATTATTATAAATACCCAAGTCAATTAAAATTGCACATGCACTTAAGCAACTTTCTCAACATGAGCATAATGTATTGTTTACATCATACCGAAGTGAAGTCATTGCCGATGACATGCCAATCATAAGGTCAGAATGATGTCATTGAGAAATGACATCATTGTGAAAGATATTTGACATCATTCAACAATTTTACTTTTTCTGAAATTTCATTGTGATCAGTCCATTTTTCTGATATGGAGCATGATACGGATAGCATGCTAATAGATAAGAAATAAATTATTACACTTTCATGTGTGTCAGACTGATTTTATGAGACTTGTGTAATAATTTATGCATAACATTTACTTTGCTCGGGAAACACATGAATTTTTATTCTTGTTTAATGTCTCAGTATGACATACATAATCGTATAATAATCTCTGTGTAAATACCAAATATGGTTCACATTTCCAATTAAGTATGATCTTTAAATACATGGCTCTTATGAGCCTTTGAGCCGTCACAATCACTATTGTTGCCATGTTTAAAATGAGATGATTATTAAGTAGCACTAGTTTCCTGTGTCTCCAATGGCATATTTATCTGCCAGTCATATGGGTCAGTAGCAGATGAAAATGTTGGTCAAGGCTAAAATTGACTGTTCCCATTTTGCATGACACCTGGCTCCGATTTCTCGAAACAAACTTAAGTCTAAGTTTTGACTTAAGTCAGAGTTTTTACTCAAATTTGAGAAGAGGCAGAAAAATTCATTTCCCAGAATAAACTGAAATTGATATTAAACTCAAACATAGTAGACAATTTGAGTTTCGTGGATAGATTACTTACCGTATATGACCGACTATAAGTCGAATCCGACTATAAGTCGGGCCCCTTTCTCAACCCTCTAAATTCTTGCCAAAACCATGTAACTCAAGTATAAGTCGGTCCCTTTCCCCGTACGAATCGGTATCGCCGCCTCAATCTTCACGCCCGGACACGATGTTTAATGCGAAAATATATGCATGAATCATTTTTGTCACAGGTCATAACCTAGCACGATACGTCAAATAAATCCCATAATTTACGTATAGGTAGCGATTTCTTGCTTAATATGTTCAGAATAGCATTATTTTACCCAAAACTTTCGTCTACATCTTAAGTTTTCGTTCACGAGGACGGTATCCATTGTAATATGATTGGCTGCCTTTGGAAACGTACAGTATGATATGGATCCCGGTAAACATTGCCAGTTGAGTTCGCAGGGCTGGCAGATTAACACACCTGACCTCGGGATTTTTTTGGGTAGATTAATGAACTCAAGTATAAGTCGGGTCTGATTTTTTACCTTCATTTTCTGGTATCAAATTTCCGACTTATAGTCGGTCATATACGGTAAGTTGTTTGGGCTTTTTTATTTTACAATTACAGTTGAGTTAAAAATTCCGCTGTTTCAAATTGCCAAACTCTGAGTTTGGAATTTGAGTAAACACTTAATTTTTTTCCAAGAAATCAAGGCCTGTTTGTCTATATTGACAGTGATTTGTACACATGATTTGGATCCCTATTGATCACCAGAAATATTTGACCTGTAATTGCTTTGGGGAACATCCCTCTAAACATGTCCACACTTGGCACATTAGTTTGGTACATTCTGAAGAGGACGTCAGATGTGAATACCAAAAGCAATCTGTAAATTTTATCACTTCATTTCATTGTTACTTATGTCTAGAGCAACAGGGGGCAGTGGGGTAGCCTTGTGGTTAAAGCGTTCACACGTCACGCCGAAGACCTGGGTTTGATTCTCCACATGGGTACAATGTGTGAAGCCCATTTCTGGTGTTCTCCACCATGGTATTGCTGGAATATTGCTAAAAGTGGTGTAAAACTAACTAACTCACTCTTGACCTACAGCTCCTGTTTCTGACAAACTGATTTCTTAAATGATTTCAAATCTTTCCCAGTTCAAGAGGACAAGGGGTATATTATCAACACCAATGGCACTACAATATTTTATTATTTTTTTATTTATTTTTTATTATTATAGGATATTTATATAGCGCACATATATCCAGGCAACTAGTGCATGCTCAAGGCGCTGGTATTTTTCCCTCCATCATTGAATGTCAATCTCAACACCACATCGTATTATCAATCTCAACTCCCTGGGGAGTATACAACTCTTGCAGCCACTAGGCGCACCGAGTTATTGTCGCTTTCTCATCCTAACGAGGTACCCATTCACAGCTAGGTGGACTGGGACACATAGTCACAGTACTTTGTCCAAGTTCACTGCACGTTGCTGTACCCGCAACTAGGTGTTTGCACGTATTCATGTGGCCACCATCTGGTCATATACCAACGGATTCGTGGGTTCTTTTAAGTGCACAGGTTTGTGTACTGTACACTAGGGGTTGTGTCAACACTGAAAGAGTCTGCACACAAAGTTGACTCCAATATCGCTTCTCATCATACTTATGTTCCAGATTCCCATGTCATTGTGGTTTCTCAGTAGATTCATAATATTTCTCACAAAATAATCTCTTATAACAAGAAAGATCTAAAATTGTTTGGTGACTTTAATGCCTTGTCAAATCTAATTGGAATTGTTGCTCAAGGCTTCTCTTAAAGTTTCAAAAACAAGATAGAAAATGACATGTTTATTTCAATCACATGACAAATCTAAGTTAAATTATTGTGCCAGACTTACTCTTAAAGTGTCAAAAACAACATACAAAATGACATGTTTATTTGAATGAAGTGACAAATGTAAGGTAAATTATTGTGCCAGACTCTCTCTTAAAGTTTCGGGGACCCTTTCTTTGAGTTTAGAGAAGACAAATTAACAGAGGACCACAACAGACGCCTACACCAACTTCTCCAGCTGTTTTTGCATGTTAGCCATAACTTTCTTGAGTGCTTGACAATGATCTTGGCATCCCTGTTGATTAAAAGGTTTCCGAAAATGGCCAGAAGTGTTTACTGCAAAGTTCTGATACATGAAACAGTGTTAGTCGCAGAAACTGAAAGTATTAAGAAAAGCAATTACTCAAAATGACTTAAAGTTGTTCATTTCTATCAATAAGATTCTTTCACCAATGCTTGGTGTCTAAATCCTAGATTAACTGTTAACTCCACCTTTTGTAAAGCAGAAAATAATTCTAATCAACATGGAACTTAACTTTCTTGATAAAGGAAAACTCTCTTGAACTGGTCAGTAATGCCTTTGTTGGTTTGTATCATGAGGTGGGCAGCTGGGTGAAAGAGGTGAGGTGTTCATAGAGAGATGAAATGCACGTGGGAGAGAGAGAGAGAGAGAGAGAGAGAGAGAGAGAGAGAGAGAGAGAGAGAGAGAGAGAGAGAGAGAGAGAGAAGAGAGAGAGAGAATGCTTCAAAGGTTATGTTTCTGTGAGGTGTTCATAGAGAGATGAAATGCACGTTGGTGTGTGTGAGAGAGAGAGAGAGAGAGAGAGAGAGAGAGAGAGAGAGAGAGAGAGAGAGATGCTTCAAAGGTTATGTTTCTGTGAGGTGTTCATAGAGAGATGAAATGCACGTTGGTGTGTGTGAGAGAGAGAGAGAGAGAGAGAGAGAGATGCTTCAAAGGTTATGTTTCTGTGAGGTGTTCATAGAGAGATGAAATGCACGTGTGAGGTGAGAGAGAGAGAGAGAGAGAGAGAGAGAGAGAGAGAGAGAGAGAGAGAGAGAGAGATGCTTCAAAGGTTATGTTTCTGAATAGATCATCTTCCACTGCCTTGCTTAACTGTGATATAATGATCTACACAGACACATGGTTATTAGAGTATACTATTCACACTTTGCTAAGGATCAAATCATGGATTCAACAGAATACTATTATGTGAATATCAAAGCTTATTGTAAGCATGGTTCCTCTAAGGTTTCAGTATCTCATTGCATTTTTATGGTTACTCATGTATCAAGTGCATAAGGTTAGATTGAAGTGGCTGTTTACCTAAAGAGGTGTTACCATATTATTATTTATCCAGTTTTAAATGGATACAGTTTCAAATTATAAATTTATTTTTAAGTAAAGTTGTAATTTTTTGTGATCCTTAGCAAAGTGTGAGTAGTATATAATAGAGGTGGTGATATGGGGTTTAACATCGTGCTTGAGAATATTTCGCTCATATGACGACGTGAGTATATAATAGAGAAGCTATCCATAAGTGTTTGTAAACTTTATCATTCATCAGCATCTAAGAAATGCCTGTCAACAATGTACCTTTGTGTCTCATTGGCTAGTACTTTAACAGGGCGGTGAGGTAGCTTAGTGGTTAAAGCATTGGCTCGTCATGCTGAAGACCGGGGTTCAATTCCCCAACAATGTGTGAAGGTGTCCCCCACCTTGATATTGCTGGAATATTGCTAAAAGCACCTTAAAAACCACCCAATGCCCAACACCAGGCAGAGCAACAAGAAGTATGTCTATGGCACAACCTGGGATCGAACCACTGGTTGTTTGTGACGGGTGCCGCAGCTGGGGCAGGATACACTCATCTTTTCGCAAATCTGATTCCATTAACACATGGTAATGATATAGTCTGAATACAATGGAATTGCGATGATAATGGAAAGGATCGTGACGCTTTTATTTGTGGCCTTATGGAGAAGGGTTTCTGGCTTTTAGTCCTTTTACACTGCTGTACAAACTAACCAATCTACAGACACTCATAATACACTCTGCTCCAAGCCTTGTAAACTATAGATGATAGACAAGGAATTGGTAAATTTGGACTCAGCCATATTTCCCCTGAAGAGGTTCTTGGATGACATTTAGAAGGTAGTGGTCAGGGCTACAGATCTCAGTTAGGAGGAAGATGGAGTGGGTGGGTGGGTGGGTGAGTGGGCAAGTGACTGAGTGGTTGAGTGGTTGAGTGAGTGGTTGAGTGGTTGAGTGAGTGAGTGAGTGGTTGAGTGAGTGGTTGAGTGAGTGAGTGAGTGAGTGAGTGAGTGAGTGAGTGAGCTCCCAAAAACGAAAAAAAAAGAAGAAAAAAAAAACTGTGAAAAGTTGGGCCAAATCTCTGAACATATCCACCAACTAGGATTACCAGTAAGATAAATCACCTGTGAAGTCCCATGCTTGTCATAAGAGGCAACTAACAGGTTCAGGTTGTCAGGCTCAGTGACTTAGTTTACATATCATGTGTTTAAATTCCATAGATTGATGCTCATGATGTCAATCACTGGATTGTCTGATCCAGACTCAATTATTTACAGGCCACCATCACGTAGCTATAAAACTGTGCTGGATGTGGCGCTGGCATCAAACAAACAAAACCCTTTACCCGCATTAAAATAATATTTAAAGAAAATCTTTTCAAAATTTTGACCCAAATGACAAACACTTTCAGCTGACTCAACCACTGCCATGTTTAATTTATCACAGACAAATGTCATCATACGATCAGTAACATACAAGACCAACCAAACTAACATTTGCCCCTTTGACCAAACACAAGTTTTAATCTTTTATCCAATCAAAGACAAGTCCTTGTTTAATCAATCATGTTTGATAGGGAATACTGCCTTCAAACATGTTTGATGAATGCTCCGACCAACATGAAATCAAACATCTATCAATTACCACGTCTGGCTGTTTTATCCTCAAGGAAAATCAGCTGAACTTTAAAATGAAGCTAAAACCTTTGAAAATTAGTTGTTCTCAACATGACGATCGCATTGGAAATCAGGGCCATTCATTAGTTCCACAGACTAAAAAAGTCAGGGATCGCATGCAAAGCACATGAAAAGAATTAAAACGACGTCAAGAAGTGATGTGATTTGCTGACACTAGGGGGTGTATTTTGGGTTCAGTGTGAAAAGAAAGGTTTTATCTCGAACGGGGAAGCACAATTAGATCTTTTCTTCTTGTTAAATCACGTTCTTCCCTCCATTTGATTTGCATGCTATTTGATTTGCTCCTTGTCATGAAAGATTCCAAAGACCTGGCTATGGTTAAAGACGTTACAGTCCAGTTTTGTCACATAATTTGGACCAGCAATAATGTTTTCTTCATCTTGGGTATTCCATAAAGAATAATTTGATTATCTTGGATTTATAGAAGAATATAAAAATGATAGTTATACAGCAAAATTGAGTTCTTGGAGTATTTTGCTTGAAGGGGCAACATATTCGTAATACAGGCTACATGATCATATCATCACAAATATACATGGAAGATCTCGAGGTGGTACAACAGTTTGAAGGACAAAAGGATATTTCTTTTTGCAAAGCTCACAGACTTGGCAAAACTTGACTCCTAAATCAATGGCTTAAATTTTTTTTAAACAAATTAATAAAACTCACGTAATTCTCCAAAGCACACATTCAAAGTGTAGTTTGATAGTAATTACATCACTTGGAAAAGTTTTGATGTCTTGAAAACTGTTAGATTTGGAAGAATCGTATAAACTGACTGAACCCATTTTCAACTCATTGACTTGACGAACAGCATGCAAATATCAGTTGGTGTAACATTTAAGGCTTCAGATAACTGACAATGCGTGATCATATGAACTCCAGCGATCAAATACCAGTTGAAAACCTAAAGAAGTTTCGGCCACGGAACTGTTAGCAGCATGACTATGTTAACAATGATAATGATAATAATGAAGATAACTCACTCAACTTATAATAGTGATGATCAGCTATTTCAAAACACACTTGAGTTATCATAGTCTGTTGTATCATGGAAAGATAACAAATAATCCTACCAAAGACTAAGAGTGGATTGGATGGTTGGTTTGTTGTTTAACACCGCACTCAGCGATAGTCTAGCTATATGGCGTCGGTTTGTAAATAATTTAGTCTGGACCAGACAATCTGGTGATCAACAGCATGCACATCGATCTACACAATTGGGATACAATGACATGTGTCAACCAAGTCAGCAAACCTGACCACCCGATCCGGTTAGTCACCTCTGATGACAAGCATGGGTTAGTGAAGATCAATTCTAACCCGGATCTTCACTGGTGAGTGGATGATGATGATGATGATGATGATGATAAAAAGAAACATAATAATAATATGGTAACACTGGGATTGTCATCATTTCTGCATTATTCCCAAACAATAAAGACACCAATACAAAACTTTACATAATAATGTTCCTGTGGGGGGAACCAAACTAAGAACTACAACCCAACAAGTGAACACATTAACCACACGGCTACCACATGGCACCCTTAGCATTTGAAATCATCACAAAATACCAGTATACCCACGAAGTTGGGAAATTATCACAAATCTTTGTATAAGACAAGCAAGGAAGACAGAGATTTGAGAGCCTTTTTCGCAGGAATGAGAACAGGGCCTTGCCAACCTTTGACATTAAGCCAACTGCAGGCCCCGAAATGAAGTGGGACACGATCAATATATGGAATCAATGAACTAATTCATTATAAGCCCAGTCTGAATGGAACAAAAAACACATCCCGTGCTTGTTCAAACACACACAAATGTGCTAATCTCATCATAGTTAATGATGTGGTATTATCTAACATTCAATACTCCGTACAGTCGAACCACGTTTGTCTGGATCATGTCTCCCAGCATACAGTTACACATGGACGTATTATCTTCATCCTCCAAGACTGACCATTTGTTCGTCTGTCCATAAAGATGGATAATTTAAGTAAGAGCCTAGTTTTGTTCAAGAAATTTTTCCTCAAAGTAATGAATGATTTCTAATGGTTATTGCCCTAAAAGTATTTTCTTCATCTCAGATGTTATGAAGAAAAATTTGAATATCATGGACTTAAAATGGAATATCTTAGTATGGCATGCTCAACAAACCAACTATGAATATTTAATTTGCCCATGAATAACAGAAGTGGGAATATTTTTAAGATTATTTAAACCCAATATTTTTATAGGGAATCAGAGAGCCATACCAAATTCATCCAAAATATGCTTCATGTCTTCAGACACAAAAGGATACATCTCTTACAGTGACATGTTCAACTTCTGGTTATAACTAAACCGACCATGAATTTATTTTGCCCATAAATAACGGAAGTGGGAATATTTTTAAGATTTATTAATCCTATCAGAGACTATTCCTGTAGGGAATCAGAGAGCCAAGTCATAATCATCCAAAATATGCTTCCATGTCTTCAGACACAAAAGGATACATCTCCCTTGATGGGATTAAAATTTGCTAAAGTCTGAGCTCCCCAAAAATATTTTGAAATTGAAAAATGTGCTTGAAATAATTTTTTAAGAGCCTGGAATCATGAACAAAATTGACTGCTTTTGTTTCTGAAATGTGACATTTTTATAAATAGCCACATAAAAATAATAGGCTAGTGCGATAGAGACAACCTCGTCCCCAATTTACCCTGTCACAAGACAAATTGTCATAGATCAAACTCATCTGGGCCGGGCCAGATGCATTTCAATATTTCTAAATGACAAATGGTTATGTCTGTGTGCAAATTCACCTCACTAAGTTCCGTTCCGAGAGAACAAATACCTAGTCTGGGCAAATTTGAAACAAAAATCCCCATAGTAATAGTACCTTAAGTTCTAAACACGTCTAATTTACTGACGTCACTGACAGAAAAAGTCTGCAATATGATATATAACTTCGTTTAATCTGACACAGAAAGTTCTGTGCCTCTAGCTACCTCAGTCGAAAAGCTATTATTACTTCAGGTTTAATGACATCACTTCTATTTTGGGAAGACAGAAGTCAAATGACATTCACCTCGAGATAGAAAGTTCTGATACAGTATAGCTACTTCAGTATCCAAGACATTAGCATTTCTGTGTAATGATTCACCCGTGAATGTCCGGGTTAGAAT